GCTTCTTACATGATCGATTGCCACTGTACATGAGATCTGCCACCTTTTTATTTTGTGAGCCTGATAAGTGGTTTTTGAAGACCCAAAATATCGTCTAGGTAATATTGAAATCAGACCTAAAGGTGCACCATTTTTTGAGAATTAGGAAAGGAAGGTTAGAAGAAGGAAAGAAGTAGGAAAGGAAGGAAAGGAAGGAAATGAAGTGTTGCAATCCTAGCTTTGACTGCTGCACAGCAATGCTATAAATGTAGATGCTGGTTGATGCGGTGGTCATTTATTTATCAAGTGAAAAAATGCTCACTGCCATGGAAATCCTTAACAACAACGATATTCTTAGAAATGATTTGGTCATAATTCAGCCATACTTCAAGCAAATCGATTTTGTGGATGTTGTTGAATAAGAAGTACAGGAGCGTTTTTAGTGGGGTAGCGAAGGATTTACTGTGGCCTTATCACCTTGGGCACGAAGAGATTGTTCCCTGGCCACAGTTTTAGTAGCACGCTTTGCACAGAGCGAAACAAATCAATAGATACTATGTGGCTTAGAGCTATCAACTTAGCCAGTTTTGAGAGGACTTATACGAAACATGTGTTCGAGGAAATTAGTTGTCGATTTTCTGGCGCACGCCAGACGCCAGAGCATTGAAATAAGAATAGTAAGCGTGATGACCTTCCAATTATTTGTAAGATACATTTTACAAAATTCGAATAGCGAGCAAGGCAATGCCAGATTTTCGACGCTCCACAAGAAGATAAAGCCTGAGATTACACTTTGAAATAAATCAATACTCAGAATGAGTGATTATGCCTATATAAGGTCAATATTGAGCTTCACTAAGCACTATTCCGTGACGGGATATATAATTTGTGTGTTCAAAAAACGAGCATAGTTTTAATTCTTTCTCGAAAGAAATTTTGCACTGGTGAACTGCGGCCCTGATATCCATAGACTGAAATCATCTGCCTCATTTGTATGCCAGCTAAAGGGACAATTTAAACATGATATCTTGAGCAATGCCACGTGCACAAGTGAACTAAGAGTAAACCCCCATTGTACAACTCAGATTTATTAACAGATGTAACTACTGATTTACTGCTACTGCTTCATATAACTACACCTAAAAGGAAACAAAAAAAACAAAGAAGCGTATATGTGTAATGTGTGTGTAAATGTGAAATGTGTAAATGTGTGGCTCCATTCTAATTTTGTACATACGTAGAGAGGTCGAAAAATAAGCTCTACTTGATATATATATATATATCGAACTGCATCTATTTCAAGAATTTCCAACTAACTTCCAGATGTCTGTGGTTCTTTGTTGAATCGTACTGATTCGAGATGCCAATAGAATGATTTATATACAGGAGAGACTAAATTCACATGCTTTCACCAAACTCGCCATTAGGCGGAGTGTGTACCGGCACTCTGTAAGGTGATCTTTTAGGACTGTACCAGCACTATTTTCACACAGTTTTGATTTGACGAAAATCAGAGTGATGTTTGTGACGTTGCGTCGATTGAGAAAGAGGGAAAACGTTATAGGGTAATGCTGGGAGCTAAGTTAACTGCGAAATTATCCTTATTGGCAGTTCCCTGCAACAAAACATCAAGAGAATCGGAACTGGTGCCCCACCAAGGTGGTCTAGTGGCTAAGGTATTCGGCTGCAGACTCGCAGGTCATGGGATTGAAACCCGGTAGTGGCGGCGGCTGCAGTTTTGATGCAGGCGAAAATGCAGTAGGCCTGTATGCTCAAATTTGGGTGCACGTTAAAAAAAAACTCAGGTGGCCGAAATTTCTGGAGCCCTCCACTACGGCGTCTCTCATATTCATATGGTAGTTTTGGGACGTTAAACCCTACATATAAATCAATCAATCGGAACCAAACATAAGGAGACATAAAAAAAATGACAGAAAAATTTGAAACAAGCCAGTGGTCGTGGCCACTGGTTCAGCTGTGACTTTTTGTCATGTCTGTTTCCTAACACGCCCCCACGGCCGATCAGCTTATGAACGGCTACTTGCTTCCAGAAAGTATACTTTCGGGACACGAAGCCTAATTATGGCGTCACACGCCATCCAGAGCTGAGGACATTTAATGGAAGTCGCCTTCAACGTGCATCTGGATGAAACTGACTACATGGTGTCTTTCGATGTGGTTTCTCTTTTCACCAGTGTACCCGTTACCCTTGCACTTTCCGTGACGCACCGGGCACCCACCCGATGGCGACTCCACTCTGAAAGACAGAGCACCGCTTCCGGTTGAACAGATAAGTCGCGGCTGCTGTAATCCTGCCTCTCCAGCACGCATTTCTCAGTTAACAACGGCTCCTTCAAGCAGACCAGGGGGCCTCCATGAGGACGGCGATATCTGCAACAGTGGCAGTGTTTTTGATGGAGGACATTGTAAAGCGGGCGCTTTCTTTGTTTGACCCTAAGCGCAAGATGTTTGTGCACTACGTGGACAACCATCTGCTTCTGCGTGGTGAAGTTTGGCGAGGTCGACAACTATCTCGCATGCCTGAACTCTGTTCAGCCTGACATAATGTTTAAAGTGGAAATACAGAACAATTCGGCTCTCCTCTTTCTAGATGTACTTGTGAGAAGGCAGCAACAGAAGCTGTCCTTTTCGATTTTCGGAAAACCCACCCACACAGGACACTACCTGCATCTAAGCGTGAACCACCCCACATGTGTCAAGTATTCTGTAGTGTGAAGCCTTTTTGGGAGAACCGAAATAATGTTCTCGTCGCCAAAGCGGCGGAAGGAGGAAAGGAATATAATCATCAGTGACCTTAGCACCAGCGGCTACACAAAAACGTTTGTTCGCACAGGTCTTCGCAAGAGTAAAAACGCGGCACCTGCCTCACCGCAACGACAATGTGTGTCAATCCCATACATCGCCAGTGTGAGCAAAACAATAGCTCGAATACTGAAAAAGGCAGGGGTCAATGTCGTCCACAAGTCATCCTCGCTATAGGTAGCTTCATTCCCTCGCCCCAAATGTCACGCGCCTGCGGAAAAATCTCATAGCGTCGTATACCTGATGAAGTGCGCCGACTGCCCCGCTTTCTATGTTGGGGAAACAAAGAACACTTAGGAAAGGATGCGACAGCACAAGAACGACCTCCATCAAGTGAACAGCCAACGAAGCGCGGTAGCAGAACACTGCGAGCGGTTTTACCATACATACACCAGCAGGAGACAGTGTTTCTAGAAAAATGAACAGAATACCCACCGGCGACTCTTCCTCGAATCCTGAAGGGTTGCGGCGAACCGCTCACGCAAGCCGAGCAAGCGCATATAGGCGCTGCAGATATCTGGCTTTCTCGCCTCTGAGTAATAAGCCGGTCTGGTTTCGAAACATCGGGTTTCTGAATACAATTCATGGTTTGAGTTTTCTATTATTGCAAGAGCAATTATATGGACACCCTAGGCATGAATTTAGCTGTCGGCGTAGGTGTCGACGTTGGTGACTGCCGTCATTTGCCGTATATGTATACGTATCTATAGATATCAAAACGCATGAAAGAAAAATAACCCAGAAAAAGACTCGGGCGCGCAGAATCGAACGTATGACCTCTTGGCTGCGAGTGCGTGGTGCTATCCACTGAGCCACGAAGAAGCACCTCGTTCAACGTTATAGCGGCGAGCTATTTATATTTATCACTTACCGCTGGTGATGGCGATCTCAGGGGAACACTCGCGTTTTCAGCATTACGAGCGCGATGTGGCAATGAGCGCGCGTCGCCAGATCGTCACGACGCGGAGACGCGCGCTGACGCGTTCATCATCCACGCATACTTTGTTCGCAGAGTGGGGGGGAGGGGGAGGGGGAGAGTAGACGCTTACGCGTGCGAGCTTATCACGCAATGGGGAGAATTGTGCACCTTGGGCTTTCACCAGAATGACTCTGTTCCAATTACCGAGCGCACAAAGGCCACTGCACTCGCTGCACAGTCTCCTTGTCCGAAAAGGGTGCTTTTTTCAGACCCAGCGAAGTAACGATTGAGACACTTATTCACGTTCATCTGTACCTGTGAGTTTGTTCCGTGGGTCAAGACTCACTAGGAAGGAGACCGAGAGCCCTATTCAGAGCAGCATCATGAAATTCATTAACAATATTCTGTCACGTGGGGTGTGCCTAGCTGCACAGTGGGTACCTTCGCACGGGGGTATTGCGGGCGATGAAGAAGCGGATAGCCTGGCTTCGTCATGCAACCATGATGGCTGTGACTGTCCGGGAATTCTATGTACGATGGACAAGGCTCGTTTACTTTACGCCGACACCTCCTGAAGCAGCACCCAGACCAGCATGTGGCGAATGGATTGTTCTCTCCCCGTGTTCGTGGCCATGGCTTGCCTCGTAGTTCCCGAGCGCTGTTTTACAAACTAAGAGTGGACTCTGTTCTGATGCGTGAACGATTACACCATCAAGAGCGTGTAGACAGCCCGTTGTGCGCAGTATGTGGCTCCTGCGACACACTTGAGCATCTAGTAGTGCACTATCCCACATTGCAACGAAGCGGTCTTTGCTGATTGAGGAATATAAATACCCAGGACTAAAGTGCGTGACGCTAGACGACTACCTCTTTCCGAGTGGTTGTGTTTCCCGACGCGACCAGGCCCACCGAGTCTCCTTACATTTATGAACAAAAGAAACCTGGCCAACCGTTTATAGACGGTCTTCTTTATTTATTTGTGTTTACATTCATACTCGTCCAAGTCTTCGTCCTTTTTTGTTTCCTCATCTTCTTTTCTCTAACTCCCCTCTATTCTTTGTTTCCTTTGTTTCTTCCCTCCTCCCAAAATAGTGAGCAGGCATTGTGCCCCTCCAGGTGGCAGTTGCCAGCTTGCTCTCTTTGTGTATTTGCTTCTGCGCATGCGCCCTGATGGCGCCGAAATTTCTAAGGGCTGTGATTTTTTCGGGGTATAACTTTTAAACTCCCTAATAATAAATACGTACACACTGTGTCATACGTTGACGTTCTGTTCTTGTAGATCCGACCATGAGGGACGCCCTAATCTACTATTCGGACAAAAGTTGCTCCATCATGGACGTTGAATATCACGGACACCGTGAGTTTGTCAAGCTTGACTCATTTCATTCATGTACGCATGCACCTCGTATGAAATGCAGGCATTATTTCCACACGTTGTATCATATACTCATAACTTACATCCTCCGCTGTAGCTCATTGCTTATCATTAAGACGTCTTCACCATCTTGTATTTTTAATGCTGTCTTGTCACACACCTATCCCACGTTCCGTCATCTGCTTCATGTAGACTAAAGATTAATCCATGTGGCTATCACAACCACTGCCGTGAAACGTAGTTTGGCGCCCGAAAGGATCTTTTTAATATAGTTCCTCCTGTACAGAATTACGGGACTGGTATTTTTACAGCAACACCACTTAGTTCTTCGGTAATTGAGTACTCATGTAGGCAAGATTTATGGTGGCAACGTGTCCGACAGAAGCGCCTTGTTGCGTCAGAACGCGTAGACTGGTGCTGTAGCAGACGCTTTGAATATAGTGAGTTCGTAGTTTATAATTAAATAAAGCTCACTGAGCACGTAAAACACGTAACGATTTAGTGTCCCTGGTATTCGTCCATCCATAGATCTTAGGTTGCTTTATTACGCTCGAAATCTAGTGGTCAAACCGGCATAAAAATGCGCATGATGCTGAATATCAGTGCAATTTAAACTAACAAGGTACAAAGTATTGTAAAATAAAGAAATAGCGAGAAGTATTCGCGATAACTTGCTTAAAATTGGAGAAATTCTTATCAAACGTGCTACTCTTACCCGCGTGACTCAAGAGATTACGCCACTGCCTCGCAAGCACGTATGTATGTATGTATGTATGTATGTATGTATGTATGTATGTATGTATGTATGTATGTATGTATGTATGTATGTATGTATGTATGTATGTATGTATGTATGTATGTATGTATGTATGTATGTATGTATGTATGTATGTATGTATGTATGTATGTATGTATGTATGTCTGTATGCTTTTATTTCCACAAATTGTTTTACAGGGCGAGTCAGGAAACAAGCAGTTTAGAGATGGTGATGATGATAAGTGAGGCTAAACGTCCCAAAACCACCATATGATTATGAGAAGGCCTAGTGGAGCACTGCGTGAATTTCGACCACCTGGGGTTGTTTAACGTGCATCCAAACCTGAGCGCACGGGCCTACAACATTTCCGCCTTCATCGGAAATGCAGCCGCTGCAGCCGGGATTTGACCCCGCGACCTGCGGGTTGGCAGCCGAGTACTTTAGCCACTAGACCACCGCGGTGGGGCAGCAGTGAAGAGGTGCTTGACCAGAGAATCACTGAGTCGCACTTGCTTAGGTTTCAACTGGTGGAACTACATTTCGCGCGAGATTTATAACTAACGAATGGCCGCACAAGCTTGTTTAATGGACTGGAGGTGAGTGGTGACGCCAAGTTTATAAGGCACATATCTGTAATGAGCTGCAAGTACTCTGTGAGCGATTTTTCAGTAACCTCCACCTAAAGCAGTCCTCACTGCGGCAACGTCGTTAAATCGTGTTTTATGCCCAAGTTGTTCATTCAGGTTGATAACCAAACTAGGCTGAGCCTCACAGACCCTTGCAGGAGAACGAAAGTTTTTTCGTTACGTGAAGAGTTTACTCAAATCGGCTTTGGTTTTACTTATGCAGTTTCACGCGCGTATATATGTTTTCATGTCATCTTACGCTTTTGCGTCGGCAGCTTCGGCCCACCATGGCGCTGATTCTGCGAGAACAGTGTCGCGTCCCGGAGATGGGCGCATTTACTTCTAAGGCACCCTCATACAGACAAACACATCATGTCGTCCCAGGACGTCTATGAAGCACCTCAAATCGATGATTATGAACAGGGTGCATTATACCATGCTTTTCTCAGGGCCTTATTTTATGTCGTTTAAGACCTAGCTCACCCTAGTAGCCACGTGAGCGCGTATGCGCTTTTACCGCACTCTGTTATTGAACGTCTTTTATAAGACAATAGTTGTTCTTCAATACATACCGTCCAGATGTAGCGTTTGTCTTTTAGTTAGCGACGGGCTCAGTCGGCTTTTGGGTTCAGCATGAATTAGACGCCCCCTTGCACGTTCGAAAGAGGAGAAGAGGCAGAACGAGGAACATCCGCCCATCCAGAAGGGTGATTGAGCGCGTCGCTGTCGCGCCGATTTCACCGACTACATCAGGCAGCAAGCTGTAAAACTAAACGCACGCGCAACCCTTAACCCTCCAAGCGCCTCCCGTGTGCTTACGCAACATTGAAGTGGGAGTTTACTGCAAAACCCATCATTGCCACGTATTATGTTCAACCGGGCGTGTTTGTATGCAGTTCTCAACTTTCACCGTATGTCTCATTACTTGCAAGACAGGGAATAAGATTGTCTCGTTACAGTTCCAGAAAGTGGAAACAGAGAAACTGCGGTCGCCTTGTCTCATTACACTTTTTAATAATAGTTTCCAAACCTTGTATAGTTTATGAAAGAGAGGGAGAGAGAGAAAGAAAAAAGATGCAAAGAAAGGCCGGGAGGTTAACCAGACGCACATCCGGTTTGCTACCCTGCACTGGGGAAGGGATGAAGGAGAGAAAAGAGGTTGCAGAGACATAAGAAGGTACACACAATCACGAGCACACTGGGGGAGCACACACAGTCTACAGGCGGTCGCTCAAGTTTGTTGACTTTAAGTAATGTAGCAGTGCTTTAGTCGCTTTCTGCGCAACTGAGGCAGATGCCCAAGGTCCTAGTATCTTCTGCACACAAAATGGTCCGGGGTCAAGTTGATTCAAAACCATCCGGAGCTGGCATCGCTGTGTGTCGTAGCAAGCGCAGCTGCACAGGACGTGTTCGATGGTCTCTTCAGCTCCGCAGTAGTTGCATGTAGGAGTGTCTGCCATACCAATGCGAAAGGAGTACACCTTTGTAAATGCAACACCCAACCAAAGGCGGCATAACACTGTCGCATCGGAGCGGGAAAGTTGTGATGGTAGCTTTAGCTTGAGCGAAGGATCCAGTTCATAAAATTGACACCTTTGGAAGCTGGTAGACGACCAGAACGTGCGTGTGAGATCTCGAGCCAGCAGGTAAAGTTGTCTTGCTGCATCATTACTTGATAGAGGAATCGGGACTACACGGGTTTCTTCATGGGCTGAGCGGGCAGCATCATCGGCTAATTGATTTCCGTTAATACCGATATGTCCAGGCAGCCATTGATATATAATATCATGCCCTCGTGCTAGAGCTTCATGATGGTAATGTCTTATTTCTTGTACCAATTGGTCATGACTCCTCCTACGCATGGCAGACTGCAAACTCTGAAGCGCTGCCTTCGAATCGCAGAATATGACCCATTTTCCTGGACGTTCTTGAACGAGATATTGTAAAGCAGCCCTTATAGCAGCAAGCTCTGATGCCGTAGATGTAGTCATATGCGACAACTTAAACTTGATTGTCATTGCTGCAGCCGGAATGACAGCGGCACCTGATGAGCTGCTGGACGAGACGGACCCATCAGTGTATATCTGCGTTCGGTCTAAGTACAACTCATGTAATAATAGCAGTGTTGCTTGCTTCAATGCTACTCTGGAGTGATTGCTTTTCTTTTTGATTCCCGGAATTTCTAGACGTACTTGCGGCTGGTCGAGGCACCACAAAGGACATGCCATTCTCGCAGATGGCGTATATCCTGATGGAATGCTGTTTAGGTGCTTGGCTATGACGTCTGAAACGAACGTAGCACGTGGTCGTCCGGAGGGTAGAAGGGCGAAGTGGTGGTCGGGGACACGGCTAGCATGTCGAATGTGCGCTCTGAGGCAATACACAACTCTATATGTCCTGACCGGATGGTCTTTGGCAAGCATGATTGTGGCATAAGTAGAAGCGCATCGGGGCAGTCCTAGGCAGATACGCAGTGCCTGACCCTGCAAACTCTCCAATGAATGAGTATTGGATTTGCAAGTGTTAGTCAGTACCTGCAAGCTGTAGCGCAATAGACCCAGAAAGAGGGCCCTGTACAGCTGTAGCATGGAGGCCACAGAAGTTCCCCATGCTTTCCCACACAAGAATTTCATTATATGCACAACAGATAGCAGTCTCTTCTTAAAGTACGCACAATGCGGGCTCCACGAAAGACTTGTGTCGATTATTATGCCCAGGAAACGATGCGTCCGCGCATATTTGACACTCTGCCCATTGATGTAAACAGGGTATGGCGTCATTGGTTTGCGTGTAAACGCAATCAACGCGCACTTCACAGTTGATATAGTTAGGCCTTGTTTCTGAAGGTAGGCTGTTGTGAGGGTTGCTGCCCGCTGTATTCGTGCACGCACCTGAGGGCGAGTAACTGCAGCACTCCAGAGGCAAATATCATCGGCGTATATGGATAGGCGCACCGACTTTGGCAGAACCTTTACCAGACCAATGAGGGCAACATTGAACAATGTGGGGCTTAAAACACCTCCCTGAGGTACTCCGCAATAGGTGTAATGTTCAGCAGTTGTAGCCTCATAGGTTTGCACAAAGAAACCTCTGCCAGTTATATAATCTTTTATCCATTGAAACATTCGTCCACCAATGCCCATTGCTGCGAGAGAAGTGAGGATGGCATCGTGAGCTACATTATCATATGCACCCTTCACGTCAAGAAAGAGTGCCACTGATATGCGCTTGCGACTTTTTTCTTGCTGAACAAATGTCGATAAGTCAAGGACACAGTCGATGGAGGAGCGGCCCCGACGAAAGCCTGCCATACAAAAAGGGTATTTGGTGTATCGTTCCAAGTACCACTCAAGACGAAATAGAACCATTCTTTCCACCACTTTTCCGAGGCAGCTTGCGAGGGCAATAGGGCAATACGGTGTCAAGTCCAATGCTGATTTTCCCGATTTCAAAAGTGGTAATAATCGACCTATTTTCCATTCTCGGGGAACACTGCCGCTGAGCCAGGAGTTGTTGAAGCATGTTAAAAGTTCTTTCCTGGCTTTTTGTCCAAGGTGTCCCAACGCACTATAAGTAATACCATCAGGACCTGGCGATGACATGCGTTTAGAAGTGACTAACGCACATTCCAGTTCTTCCATGGTGAATGGAATGTCCATTTCTGGTAATCGCGTCTCAGGAACGATCACGGCGTCGATGCTCTCGTTCATAATATTCCCGGCAACTCTCGTGCAAAATTCTTCAGCCACCTCGAGTTCTGTTTTTCCATGATGGACTGCCAAAGCTTTAAAAGGGTGCCGTTGTTGCGGAGAGGAGCGAAGACCACGAACTGTTCTCCAGATATATGACAGCGGTTTTTGAGGGTCTAGAGATTCGCAGAATGCTTTCCAGCGTTCGCTCTCCAGCTTGTAAATGCGTCGTTGAATCTTTTTCTGGAGCTGTCTTGCTTCCCTCAGATCGTAAATTGATCTCGTGCGTCTGTATCGTCGTTCAGCACGCCTACGTATAGCTCGTAATCTTTCCAGTTCGATGTCAAACTGTGTTATTTTAGACGAAAATGGTAATTTACATTTGGACGCTTGCATAGCTTCCGCTATGGTATTTTCCAGGCTGCAGGCGAGGCCTTCTTGGCAAGCGTCCTCAACACGCGATGTAAACAATGACCAGTCATTGCCAATTACAACACCGGAAGAGAAATGTTTTATGATACCATCGATCGTCACGTAGGTGGGTATGTGATCACTCCCATGAGTCTCAATATCGCAAAACCATTTAACTTTGTGAGAGAAGCACCGTGACACCAATGTCAGGTCAAGGCAACTGCCATACGTGAGACCCCGCAGATATGTTGGGGTACCATCGTTCATGATGGAAAGGTCGTAATCGGAAGCGAATGTAACAATGTTCCGGCCCCTGGCATTCATCCTAGTGCTCCCCCAAAGCCGGTGATGGTCCAAGGCCCATCGGTCATCATTAGGATGTCTTTTAATATTTCGCAGTCAAATCGCGATGACGGAGATATATATCCACCAATAAGCGTGAACGAAACTGCATTCTTCTTTACACAAAGACACACATACTGATTGTCGTCATTTGAACTTATTGGGTGCGAAAGATAAGTGAAGTCTGTACGAATGTAAACAATTACTTTGCTTCGTTCTTCGCAAGCGGCTGAACAAAAAGCTTCATAACCGGACAATCTATAAGGCGCTGATACGTTTGGTTTACATATGACAAGTATAGGGAATTGATTGGCCCGAACAAATTGGCGAAAGTCCGAGATACGGGACTTTATGCCTCTGGCATTCCACTGCAAAATCGACGCACTTTAACTTCAGTGCGGAAGATGAGATTTTGTTGAGCCATTGTGCTTATACGACGTTAGCAAGAACTGGATTCAGTGCATCCAGTATTTGCAGTGCACTCTTAGCAGACAGAGATTGTATGCTGCTCAGTAGCTTGCGAATCGTGGAAATTATTGATTGCACGATTGCAGTCACTTGCTTGTCTTGGTTGGAAAGATCTCGAACCGGGATCGCGGACTGACCGTCATGAAAAGTTTATGAAAGAGAATGTGATGATCACTAGAGAAGAAAACAAAGTTGAAAACAGAGAAAATTTGAAGGAAAATACTTAAGAACTAGAAAGACTGCATAAGGCCAGTGCAAGAAGTACGCGTGTGTTTCTCACTGTTTAGAGTAAGCGTACTGAAACTTGATGCTTTTGTCTGTCTTTTTATTGCTGTTGCTTTATGCTAACTTGAGAAAGCTGTAACCGCATTTTACAACGGTTTTGGCATCAATGATTTTGTTAACTGTCCTGTTTCCTTATGTTGAACATCTGGCAGTCCCGTATCGTCAACGCCCTAACGGTATTTCTCTGTTCCAGAGTGCATCCTCTGGGTGAAGCGTAATCTGAAGGACACAGTACCACAGGTGTGCATCGACAACTTCATGGACATTTGCGGTGTGGTCATCAAGCCGGGAAGGAGAGACCTGTGCGATGACGGCGAAGGAGACTACTAGTGTTTAGTGCAAGAATTACGAAGAAGTGGATGGGAAAGAGGCTGATGAGGCTTGGACACGGAAACACTGAGGCCATTCCTCGGCAATGTTCCCAACTGCTAATAATTTGATTATCCTGCATGTACAAAGCATGCAGTGGTGGTGGGTTCTACTTAGGCGGCACCCGCTCTGCCTTTTGGTCATTGTTTGCTGATGAACTACGCTTACTGTATTGATCAGATTGATCTGAATTGGGATGCATTAGAAAGCTTGCGTTCTCCGCATTCTAAATACTGCACGTATTCTCGCCTAGTTTAAAGCGTGATTTCATAAAGTATAAAACACAGTGAAAAAAAACTGACTTTTTGCTGAATACATCCTGTTGTACGAACCGTGCGGAAAAACTACTCAACCTAACGAAAGGATATTTGTTGAACCATTTATTCAAGCGTTATTCAACGGTTATGTGACTATATATTGACCGTAAAACAACTTAATATTAATGCAGGCTCTAATAAAAATAAACAGAACGGTGAATTTTATGAGTTAATAATTTTTTTTAAATTTTTAATGTATGACAACAATATTGAATGTGTTTCTTGGCTACAGTGCACTTTGTGTCTACGAGAAGTTGTTTTGTGTTATAAAGAAGAGCTGGTGAGTTATCATTACTTTCATTCTGCGATTTATGTCTCTACTTGGTCAGGCATTACCGACGAAGGGTTAAACTATCCAAGCTGAAATTCAAGTATTTTCAATGTTCATTCATACACGTGCCACTAAATATTGCAGCGTTGTCGTTAGTGGCGACGTAGGTTCCAGAAAAATCTGCAATGTTCGCCAGGCGAGCGTAATCTAAACGAAGGAATCTACTGCAGTGCTGAAGCTTCTCGAACACCGCAGGCGTGGTTTGCGCTGAGAGTCACTGACAGTAAACTAACAAAAACTGAGGAGGGAATATGGCAATGTCATGAGAAACTCTTCCTGACTTAAAGAACTTGCAGCAGAGCAGAGTATTTAGCTGATTTTTTGGTATTTATATTGTGTTGCAAGGTAATTCACAAGTAATGCACATTAGCAGAGCTATGAAGCGTCTTCGGATTACCAGTACTCACTCACCCCTAATCACACATGAAGGCTGCCTAGTAGTAACTTTGCAAAGCAGTGCTGGAACCAAAAGGCTTTCAAGAAATAACAGATCTCACAAACGTTTTTGAAGGTGGCACCATCTTTGAAAAAAAAGACATCAAGTTGTTTACCGTCAGTTCCGAAGTTCACTAAAAGTGGCGCCTCAAAACATTATTAAGCCAGCAAGACATGAATGGGTCATTTCTCCACACTTCAGTGTTAAGCCTAGTAGATAAATGCAGACCTCTTTAAGGCAGAGGAAGATTCCATCTTTTCCAGGCTGTTTTCCGGGAGTACAAAAGCCGACTTCACAGCCTCGGCACCGCATTTTTTTGGGTAACGCATGTTAACGACAGGTCAGAGAGAAATAAAGTGGCGCCCAAAGAGCCTTTGCTGACGATATGCATTGTCGCCATGTTTAAAATGAACCCTGTGAGGCTGCATGCTGAAAGACAGAAACTCGAAGCAAACGGTAATATGAACCAAAGCGACTCTGCCCAAGTCAAGACCGTCGACTATATAGCTTCGCGTGAGAGGAGAAAAATCGTATTGGAGGTCTACAGTTGAGCCACTGTGGAATAAAGGCAACTATCACAAGCCTCTCTCCACAACAGAAACAACGTAAAAAGCATTTTCTAAACGATGTGCAGCTCCAGCGATATGACAAGGTAATACAAACAGTTTTTTTCTGGCTAGATAAATACGACTAAATGGTGCCGAGACAGAACCAGAGGAAACACTAGTAATAACTGAAGATGTCACCGCAGCCGTGATTCTTAATCTGAGTATTGAAAAGTGTACTGGCTCCGACGGTACTTCTAACACATTTCTTAGACGCTATGCTGAGCGAATTTTTGTATTTCTGACTAGCAAGTTTAACCTATCGATAACCAGAAATGTCATCCCAAGCGATTGGCGCATTGAACGTGTTACATCCTTCCACAAGAAAGGTGACCGGCTTTATTTATTTATTTACAGATACTGCTGTCCCATGCCTGGGACTTTGCAGGATCGGGTACAGAAAAATCAACGAAAGCACAGAAACAAACAATAGTGCGCACAAATTTATGTGACTAACACATAAAAGTTTTCCCGAACTCTACAGGGTTCATTCTACGCAATGCACTATCCAGCTTGTTCCAAACTTCCACCACACGCGAAAAAAAAAGAGAATTTGAAACAATCCAAACGAGACCTGAAGGGTACAAGGTTCAAAGCGTCTGTACTACGTGTTGTACGCGCTGGTATATCAGCGAAAGATAAGGGCGCGTGAACGCGGGTCATTTTGTGTACAATCTTGGGCAACAAGATAATACTCTCGCGTGTACGGCGGTATTCCAGTGAATGAAGTGACAACAAATGAGCATGTGAAGACGGGGAGAAGTCCCGATCATAACGGTTAAAAACAAACCGTATAGCCTTATTCTGCACAGATTCTAACCTGTTTTTATCTTGCTCAAGATGAGGCGACCAAACCACAGAGGCGTACTCGAGCATCGGTCTCACTAGTGTCTTGTAGGCAGTTAACTTACAATCTTTTGTCGAGTTTTTCAATCTTCGCTTTAAGTAACCAAGTTTCCTTAGAGCTTGACAAGTTATCTGGTCAACATATCGGTAAATAATTACCGCCGAGCCTCAGTCATTAGCACGTGTCGAAAATTTTTGAGCACGCTGTCGCACGTAAGATTCAAGAATTTACTAACTGAACGAGGTCTAGTGTCACTCATACACGTCTTCAGAAAATCAATGTCTACAGTTACTCAGTTGGTTTTTGCTGCACACTAGATCTGTTGGCAGGTAGATATAATAATTTTAGATTGTGTAAAGGCCTTTGATAAATTACTACATGGTAAGCTGTTGTATAAATTAAAACGCCTCAGCATGCTACGCTTTATTGTTGAGTTGATTAGTTCATATCTATACAATAAAAATCGTCACCCCTGTGTTTCTTGGTACCTCGGGAGTGTCTCAAGTTGTGTTTTAGGCCCTTCTTTATTTCTTATTTATGCAAGTTATCTGGTTGGAGGGGCCTGGTACTCTATCAATACGGTTGCTTGCTGATGACTTTGTTGGGTTCAAGAAAACCTTGTCTACATATAACCACATCTTATTAGAAAACAGTGTATCTATGATTGCAGATTGGTGCAAGCGTTGGGGAACGGCTTCAAACTCAGAGAAAGCAGTGCTACTCTGTGTAACTCAGAAAAATCTAGTCAGTACATTTGTACAATGAATCGGTAACAAACGGGTCACCGAAGTTAACAAGTTCAAATACTTAAGTGTTATACAAAAAATAAGGTCTCATGGTCTGAACGCATATCCGGTATTTGTGCGGCCGGTCTAAAAGAAAACTTAGGAAAGTGCCAAGTAGCATAAAACTAGCTTACAGTGCCTTCATCAGGTCTAAATTGCAGTATGCATCAATTGTGTGGGATGCTCATTATCAAAAAATATTTCGCAACTAGAAAATGCTCAGCGTAAAGCAGTAAGTTTGAAAAATACAAACGTCTAGACTCCCTTACACGTATAATCAATCTCAGTAACATGCCAACGCTGGAAGCACGGAGAAAAGTTAACCGCCTCTCATGCCTTCACAACTGACTTGCAGGTGAAATCAGTTTATCTCTTCGAGCGTCTGTTAAAGAGAAACTGAATGGAATGGAATGAAATGAAAAAAACTTTATTTAAGTCCTGCAGGACGCGCTTAGCGCGTAGCGGGCGTGTCCCACGTAGGGACCGACAGGGAGTACCTGGCGGCCGCTTCGTGGGCCTGCTGGACAGCCCATTGCTGGTCGGCGAGAAGTTAGCTTCTGAGGGACCTCTCCCACTTGTTTGAGGTAGAGTCGGGAGGAGCTGTTCTACACTCCCAGAGCATGTGTGCGAGTATCGCTGTGTGTCCACATGGTGGGCATGTGTCGCTGGGGTATGAATCGGGATAATAAACGTTAAGCGTGGCAAGGTTTGGGTACGTGTGTGTCTGTAATAGGCGTAGAGTTAATGCCTGTGGTCGGTTAAGTTTTGGATGTGGGGGTGGGAAAATGCGGCGTGAATTTAAAATTCAGTCCATCTTCGTGTTTAGGAAGGACCGGCATTATTGTTGACGATGTCATTGTTTTCGTGGTTGTTGCAGCAGGATCTTTAGAACAGGCGAAATAAAAGGTTGTCTTGCTCCACCACCGCGAGCGTGCTAAAAGTGTAGGCGTAGAAACATACGCCATTTTCGTTTCCTTTGGCCCGGAGCAAGTGTTCTTTCTTATCTTCAACCACGGCTTCCGTGACTAACCCATGACGTCCCGTTGCCACAACTAACCGAAGAGGCCACACGTCAGCAGTGCTGATGTTGCAGATGACGTGGCATACCGACAATGACGTCACCGTGTTTTCTCGGTGTCTCAAGAAGCCCGGCGGCAACAGCCACTGTTTTTCCACCAAAACGTGCTACTGGCTTTTACTTTTCAGAACTCTCACATCGCTTTTCAATTCAGCAGGGATCAAGCTGTCCTTACACGCTCCTAAGTGATCTTTTTACAAAAGTGTTTCAGCTTCCCTTTAAGCGTCTTGGCCCAATTACAAACAGTCGTTAGCACCAATCTTCTCTGGCACAAAATTTCGGTAGAGTTTTTTTCCTCGTAAAGCCGCAGATTTGAATTTATTTCCGAATAGGGTAGACATCTCTGTCAAATTTGTTGGTAATATTTATTGCCATTCTTTGAAGGGTAGCACTACCCGTTGTTACTGCTTCTACTCGTTCCTATCGCACGTTTTGATTACCTTATTTTTCAATGGTTGTCATTAGATTTATTGTTCGTTTTGTTTCATGGGTTCGCCCATTGCGTTATTTGTGTAATAAATACCGGTGTCACACGGGCACTTTATTCGTGAGCAAGGTGATCTGGATCGGTTTTCTTGATCGCGATCAGCTTTATGGCCGCTGCTACACGGCCCAAGCTAATCTGGTTCGAGCTTGGGGTTAGATAAAATGCACCATATAGCGCTTTTGTGCCCTAATATAC